TTGCTGCGACAATTGTTGAGTCGTCTGAGCCAAATGGCTAGCAAGGTGAGCCAAGTCTGCTGCCGAGAAGATCTGGATGGGGTCCGTGCTTGGGTTCTCCAATTTCTCGAGAATGGCCAAGTTGGCCCCTCTGTCATGTTGGAGGATGTTCCAAAGAACGGTGGCCAGCTGGTGGATCTGACTCGGTGCCGAAGCGGATTCGGCGTGGACCACCAGAGAGTCCGTCTCATCCATATTTGATCCTGACATGTCATCTTGGCTGTCTTCAGCTTGGTTCCCGCTGTTAGACTCTTGCGGGTGGTCTTGCCAGATTTCCGCTTGGTGCACTTCAGGAATTATTTGGAAATGACGACGCCAGTAATTGGCAAGTTGGGTAGCTTGTTCCCAAGAGTCTATCCATCCGCTTTGATCAGCACGGATGTGGCCAACGATCCCGTTGAAGAAGAACTCCGGTTGCCTATTGCGATGATTTCCAAGTCGGTCCACTTCCGTTACCATGAGGCGACGGAGAGCTGGCTGGGAGTGATCAGAACTGGGTACTCTAACCTCTGTAAAATAATGTGCATGGAGTTGGCGTCGTTGTTCTGCCATCTCTCTCTGGAGTGGAAATGCTTCGTCTTGTCTTGGGGCGATCGGAATCTGATGATCACCGGAAGCAGGAAGGGGGACTGCTGGAGCTTCGGTAGAGTACCCAGGCTGAGAAGAATGGGTACTAACATCTTCATGACGAGAAGGGTGCCAAGCAGTGGGTTCAGTGAAATCAGTAGCACTGCGATAGGGATGACCAGATTCAGATGGAGCGGCGCTGCTGCTGGGGTAACCCCGAGAGCGAGAGTGACGACGCGGCATGCTCATAGGGATGGGAGGACAAGTGAAACCAGCAAGGAGGGAATCACGTTTGGGCATGATGTAGCTGGAGCCAAGAACTAAAAGAAACAAAAAGAAGAAGTTTAAACCTTAAGGAACAAGACGACTCTGCAAGCAAAACGGCTTGAGACGTCAGCGCAAGGTGACTTTTTGCCCGGGCTCAAGGAAGCATGTTTCGGTTGGGCAAAGCTTCATGACAACTCATTCGCATGATGTAGGGCTGAATGTCAGAAGTGAATTCTTGAATGTCATTCGGCAAGATCTCACTATGTTCTTGGCCCTCGGTCCAGTGAGGACGATATTCATGGAGGTATGCAACCAGTCGGTCCTCATTGCGGAGAGCAAAGGTGTCTCCAGTATCGTCTTGCCATCGGATGTCCATGGATGACGGGGGCAGGTATCGATCCCAGGTGTACCAGATATGTTGACTGATGCAGTACAACAGGTTGTACACCGTGAAGGTATCCAAGCGATGAGTGTTGAGCAAGACATTGTAGGTAAACAGCGCTCTTTCTTCAACTCTGCTAAGGCGAGGGAGAACCTCGCAAGTCGTGGCAGCCATCGAATCATCATGAGTCTTGTTCATGAGTGGACGAACTGATTGTAGATCCACGATTGCTAAGACTTTTCGAAGACGAGGAGCAGGAGCTGCTTCAGGCCATGGATGATAGTGGCGACCATGTTGCTGTGTGGGGCGGTTTTGCCACATATTGTGATCCCGTGAACGAGAACGTTCTGGAACGGTTCGACTGCGAAAGGATGAATGAGCCATATTAGCTAAGGAAAACAACCATGGATGAAACAAGGAGAGAAGACCCGAAAACAAGAAAAGCGAGGAAACAAAGAAGGAAAAGAAGGAGAACATGAGAAGCAGTAACAAGCCTTTCGGCATTGCTGGAGTTGACAATAGGATCAATCTTCCGCCTCTGGTTCACGAGGTGGATTCATGCGACCGTGTTGGTCCATGACACTTGGCATTTGTTTCAAAATGCCCCATCTCAGCTTACATACATGAGGTTCACGATGAAGTCTGGCTCCAATCGTCTTCCACGAAGGGCGGGACTTTGTGTCCTGCTTCATGCTGACCAGCTCTTGATCGTCTGCATTTGTCCAAGGCCGGAATGGTGGATCTCGAGGTGGATCCGTCAAAGTTGGCTGAAGGATACGAATCGTTGGAGATGGTGGAGCTTCCGGATTTGGTGTCAACGTGATTGTGGAAGTTTTTGGTGGAGCAGTGGAGACAGGGTTTGCAGTGGCGACATGGTGGTAGTTGATGGCATCTTCCATATGTCGCCTCAAAGATGTGGATGCGTCAACAGCTGGATGAGGTGAAGCAGCGGCCGATGCTGCGTCGCCATCTGAGTCACCTGATGGTACGTCTGATGGGATAGGTAGCGGTCCCGAATGATCAATGCTTGGATTTGGTGTGAGTCGTGACTCAGGAAAAGACACCTTTATGTTTCTTCTTTGGTTGCGGGTCAATCGTAGAGGAAACCCTTTGTTTGGACCGGGCTGGTACTGGGATCGTAGTTCGAGTGGTCAAACGAGGATGTTCTACAACTGGCGTAGTACCGCGAGGTGGATCAGGACCGGGATCGGTCATGGGGATTGGAAGATGGGGTGACCCGGTGGTGAGCATGGGTGCACTGTCTGGTGGAGGACGTGCCTGCATAGGACGAAGATTTGGTTCAGGATTAATCACCGTGTGGGACGGGATGCCTCCATGTGACACCAAGGTTGGAGGGGGCCCTGATGTTGGTAAAGGAACAAAGGTGTGCAAGCCCCTGGAACCCAGGAGTTCCTTTCTTCCTTAATTAAGATTAAGCAAGGTTAGCCTTAAATTATTTAAGCAAGGTTAGCTTAATTAAGGATAATAATTCCTTAATTAAGGTAGGTAACCTTCCTTAAATAAGACAACCTTCGTTATTTAAGATAACCTTGCTTAAAAAAAGTCGTTAATTAAAGAGTTTTGCATTAATTAACAAAGGTTTTCTCTTAATTAACGTAAAAGTCGTTAATTAAAGGAGATTAATAAGCAAGGTTAGCTTAAATAAGCAGGGTTTCGTTAATTAAGGAAGAACGGAACTCCTGGGAAGCTGGATGTTCAAGGCGGAAATGTGTTGGAGGCGAAGAGTCTTCATATTCAATGGATGGCTCGAAAAAAGGTAAGAGCCCCGCCAAATGGTTCCAGGGAGGACCAACCGGAAACATATGTGACACCGGCAAGTTGGGGATCCAACAATGCCCCCAAACATACACCTCTGCACTGGACAGCTTGCCCTTGACACCGGCGACACTATGTTTCTGGTGCCAGACAGCTTTGCTTTGACCCTGCGTCAGCAAGGAAAGTCTCCAAGTTTAGCTGCCAAACGTGGCGGCCAGCCCTATAGCAAGCCTTGCTTTGGGATGTATAGGTGCGTTTATAAAAAAAGGATGTATGTTTTGGCTCTTGACATGTATTGACAACATATATTACAACATATACTATATACAACCCGTTTATATTGACATTCAAAAGCCTATTTATCATGTATACACCACACTTAAATATACCGGCTTACTGTTTATATACAAATCCTGTGCACTTTTTTGTGCTTGGCGGGGACGCTCGAAGTAAAACGCTCGGGTTTGCTGTGGTTAAATGGGCACTGTGCTGTGCATGTATGCCAAATATTGTTTCGAAACAAGTGGGTGCGTTTATTTTGAAATAACATGTTTCCAATTTGGAGTTGGCATTTTTCCCCATGGTTGCTATTTTCCTATTGCATGATATATGTGGCTCCAAGGACCGGCCGTTTCCCCAGCAATGGAACCCTGGGGGATTGAAGGGCATGCATTGCATGCCAAGGGGAATTTCATTGCTGAATGTCTCTATCGGCATTGTGTTTTGCCAGATGGGGGCCAAAGGTTGAGGAAAACAGCAGCAATTAGCCCGGGCACATCACTAAAGCAACATGCTGCACGCAAAGCTTTCAAATGGGCAGCACATGTTGGGTTTGGTAAGAATTTTTTTACCTTAGCTGCGTGCCGCGAAGGGGTTAAATTGTTGCTTCGAAAAGAAGGGGTTGAAGTACCATTTGCAGGTTTATCCATGGATGCTTGGATTGAATCCCAAGCTAAAGTTATCATGAAACTAGCGGCCCGGGCCCGGACAAATTCTGGTTCCAGCAGCCTTCGTTTCCGGTCCTATTACCAAGCGAAATTCATGGATTGGGAGGAAACGCTGCCCCAGGCGGGGCCATGGGTGGGAAAGGGAAAAGCTGTGGCCCTGGTTTGGTCCAAAAGAAATCATTATATTTACATATATGTATATACGTAAATATTTATATATGTATCTAGATATATTTTTATTTTAAAGGCTAGTGATAAACGCTTGGTTTTAAGAAACAAGTCATTTTTTGGTTTTAAGTGTTTTTTGGCGCCTAAATGATAAATGCTCTCAGGAGGAAACCGCGTGGGACGGCGAAGCTGAAGAGCAGTGGAGGCAAGGACATGGTTTTGGGTTTGTTCACATGGCAATATACTTCCAAGACATTTTTCCATATCCACCAAGCCACCAGTTAATAAATAATCCATCCATTTGCTCACACCAATGAATAATATATATATATATACAAATACACATGTATGTATATCAAAGTTCGAACACATATTTATTATTTAAAGATATCTTTTAAAAAAACTATATATATATATATATACATAAAATATATTGATATTAACACACATGTTTGTACCTTTCGTGCATGTGCACAGTTACAGGATGCAAACGAAAGAAATAAAACAAACAACACAAGTTTACTAAACAAACATGTTAACCAAAAATAAACAAGAAATCCACCAATTGAACTGGAATGTAGTCAGAATCAGCTTAAACCACCTTGGAATGTTCTTGGGGGTTGCAAAACAAAGATTAATCATCGGTTCCTTTTTTATGTTTTAATAAAAAAAATCAATAGCAGCCCTTTCCCATATAGAAGATTTGCGTACACAATGGGACAAAATCAACCTTTAAAACATATATATCATAGGCTCATTGATAAATCGATTTTGTAAACAAATCACACCCATCCGAATATCATGGTTCCCGGTGCCACTCCCTCGCACCCTTATATATATGTTGTTTTTTCTTTCAATTATTCAGCTGCCAGGCCGTTGGAATGGAAGGGTTCTGCCGCAGAGTCCTGGGAGCCGCCAGAGATTCTGGGTGCTGGATTTGGTTGGGGCCTTCCCACCGTGTGTGTGTGTGTTAATCCGGGGTTTATGGGTTAAAATTTACACACATTTTTTTTTTCTGGGATGGTGTATGGTGGATATTTCCAACTGCTGGCGGGAACCAATGGCATCACGGCCAATCTCGATTTCATGTTTGTTCAAACAAATTGCAACAATGTTTAAGGAAGAATCCAATTCATGAAGATGTTTCCTGGCCGCACTGAAATTGAGATGGTGTGTTTCAGCGTACCTACCAGTTACAACATTTGCAATTGTTTTGCAGTTTACCTTGCTGAAGGTTGATCTCCAATATGCCCTTTGGGAATCGTATGGGAATCTTAGCTTGAATTTATTGAAGACCTGAACCTTGGGTATTTTTCAGCCTTAAACCAATCAATCACCCAAGGGCTTCGGGTGGCAAGCAACAACTTGCAATTTCACTCCCAGAGGATGCCGCATCCTGGTTATTGATATTATTTGTTTTCCCTCCGAAAAAAATCAACTTGTTTCAATGGTTCTATTCATTCGTTTTTTCCAATCTATGGGGTGTTTATTTGTAGAGGGCAAGATTACTTGATCTGTTTTGTTTCAATTACATCAGATTTTGATTACCTTTTCGAAAAAAAAATCATCCATGTCCATATCTGACCTCGCTCACGTGCTGCCCAGGCACCCTGGAACAACGATTCGTGGATGGACAGTCCTGCAGCCAAGCCAGCGAAAGTGGCGAGTTGGTGGGCAGAATCTTTGATGTATATACATTATTTTATCTAGCAAATATATGACTATAAATATGTTGGGGTGTTCTGAGTTGTAAACCGTTTGCAACCACATGGTTCGCATACAACGTTGGTTTGGGAAACACCTGTGAATAAAATTTGTCTTCAGGATGATGAGCCTACTCCAACTTTGACTCCTGGATCTTCTTGGGAAAGCCCGGCAACTACAGTGCTTGATACCGATCATGGAGAGGAATGGGATGAGTGGGGTGAGTGGGATGAGAACTCCGAAAATTGGCCAGGTGACCAGCAGCTTGATCACAACGGCCATGCTCAGGCTGAACCCGTCCCTGGGGACCTTGAAGAGACCCTTCCCAAGACCGGACATGAAATCCACAATGACTCAACACTTGATCACCAGGATCATGGAGAGGAATGGTGGGATGAGTGGGGTGAGTGGGAGGAGAAATCTGAAAATTGGCCAGGTGACCAGCAGCATGATCACAGCCATGTTCAGGCTGAACCCGCCCCTGGGGACCTTCAAGAGACCCTTCCCAAGACCGGACATGAAATCCACAATGACTCAACACTTGATCACCAGGATCATGGAGAGGAATGGTGGGATGAGTGGGGTGAGTGGGAGGAGAAATCTGAAAATTGGCCAGGTGACCAGCAGCATGATCACAGCCATGTTCAGGCTGAACCCGCCCCTGCGGACCTTCAAGAGACCCTTCCCAAGACCAGACATGAAATCCCAGTGCTGTTAGGCAGCATTCCCTTTTCCAAGACTTGGGCGAAAGATCTTCACGAGTTCATGGACAAGTTTGGGGACTGCAAGTGGTGGTCTTGTTATGCTATGGGCGGAGGCTGGAGGCTTGATTTTGTCGGGGAGTGGAAGCTGAAGCATGTTCCCTGCAAAAGTCAATTCCCGTTATATGTGTATGCCATACTGGATGAAGATGACATGGAACACCAAGACTCAGACCATGATGATGAGTTCCATGGTCTTGACGACAATACAGGTGACTTGCCTGACTGCTACATAGCCGATCCAAACCCAAAGGAGCTTTTGCCCGACAACCAGCTTGGGGACCGGGACCTTTACCCAGAGTCAGAACCTGGAGGCCCATTTCCTCCCCATGATGATGACGATGACAATCAGGGATGTGATGATGAGGGGGCCCATACCTACTCAACTACTAGTGATGCTATGTGCCCTTGGCATGAAGGCGAATGGGCCAATGATGGACCTTGGGCGGGAGAGGGGTCTTCCTGGGGTGAAGATTGGAACGACACGTCAGCTCGCAGCCAGGCTGCGATTGTTGATCAAAACGATTGGCCACAGGACCACGACACTGGCTACACAGATGCTGAGTGGGCAGCCTGGGGTTGGGGGAAGGATCAGGATTTGATGGGTGAGTTGGAGAAAGAGATGGACAGAATGGTGTACTCCAAAGAACCCCCCTCGACCAATGGGACTGGCCCCTCGAATGCAATTTGCAAAGTTGAATACTATATCTGTGGTTTGTCCAAGATGTGCTGTTTCTTTACAAATTGACATATTGTCTGCTTTTCCCCAGGTGAAATCGACATGGACAAGGCTGACGATGATTCAGTGGTCACTGGTGACGGTGACAATGATGATTGGTATACCAATTGGTACAGCCCCTTGTTGCAATGATAATTTCCCAAACAAAACATTTCACAAAATATTGCCAATTGTGTCTTTTTTTCCTGGGGTGACATTTTCCACGGTTCAAGGTGACTACTTTGATCGATCGGATCCCGACGAAAAGCCCACAATCAAGGAACCGGGAGGGTATACAAAAGTGTTTTTATATGAACGAAACATTGATCCATGTATCTTATGACCTTGTATTATCTATCAGCCATACGGCAGGATCTCGATATCCCTGGGAAGAATGACGCCAACCAAAGGCTTCGCGATCGATGTGAGTGTGTGTGTGCGTATGTTTTTTACTTGGAATAAGTTTTAGTGGGCCAGATATATACTGTCTGAATATGTTTGGGGTGTTAGTGATATCCACATCGGTTTAAACAAATGCAATTGTTTCCTGTCACTAGTGCTTTGCTCAGGGCTCTTCGTGATGTCGAGAAACCAAAGAGCGATGAGGTCAAGGTGAAGGAGCTCTTGGGGATCCTATGGGATTTTTTCTAATAGTATAATATCATATTATGGGGTGATCCAAGAAAAATCCGTACAAATATCCAAGATTCCATTCCATACAAATACCCAAATTGTCACAGTTTGTCGCCCAAGATGTCCCAATAAATTCATTTCAAGGCTGATGTTAATGTTTATAGCTTGAAACTCGAACCCCCCCATTTGGATATGAAAAAAATAAACCATTTCCGTGTGCAGGACTCAAAGGAACGATCTTCGACCGGCCCCGCAACTTGGGTTGCAGAAGGGCTTACCGTCGTAAATTATTTCAGTCAACTTACCTCCATAAGAGTTCATGAATACATTCATTCGTGTATAGGTCATCCATGAACATGTAAAAACAGATCAATTAGATCCAACTGCAAAGCCATGTACATGTACTGCCCTTTACTCTACAATGTTGGTTTTGGGTCCAGTACATGTTCAAAATCAAAGCAGCTAAACTCTAATGGCTCTAATACGTAATGTAAATGCATATTTGAAACTATGTATCTTGATGAACAAAACAACAGTACAATGACAATATATATATATATAGAAATTGAAATATATATATACTATAGGTTTCTCTCTATCTATATATGTCTGTATAAATAAACAAATAGTATATATATATATATGTGTTTATAGATACATGCATGGGTCTGTCTTGATGGAATCTCCCTTTGGTGGTTTAGTTCCACCCTGTTTGTAAAATTTTTGGGATGCCAATTAAGGCAGAATTTACCTTGGAGATTGCGGGAGAACCATCATCCAGTATCCCGCCAGTGGTCCTCATGCGCTGCTTTGGCAAACAGAAGCCACTGGCGCCACATGCCCAGCGTCTGCTCCTGGCTTCGCGCAAGGAAGCAAAGGCGCCGAAAGCGAAGGCCAAAGGAAAGGCGAATCCAAAACCGAAGGGAAAGAAACCTACAAAAGGACCTGCTGCAGGGGATGATTCGAAGGAGAAAACCCCCTATGCTCTTGCAAAGATGAAGTTTATGGACCAGTCCCTAGTCCAGAATATGTTTGTTTGATCCAATTTGGTGTATCTATCTTCTTATGATGGGCTCATCATCCACCATATGGGGTAAATCCCGAGGTTGCTGGAAGATCATGGCCGCATGCCTTTGAAAGAGCGCGAGCAAAGGCAGTTTTTTCACACATGCCCTTCCCCCAAAATAGAATATGGAAGGGAACTCGGTGGCTTAGGAATTTGATTTCCCAAGTTTGTTGAGAACCTACATTTGCTTTCCCCAAAAAGGAAAATCAAAATGCATCGGATCCCATGTTTTTTGCAGGTGGAAAGACAGTGAAGAACGTGCAGCAATTGTGGAAGCCCTTCCCGAAAGTGAGAAGAAACGCCGGCGCTACAGCTAGAGTGGCATTTTGCCACCTTTTACCAAACGTAGGTTTTCCCAAAAAATTGGGGACTTTGGCTCATGCCATGATTGCGCGTGTGACGATACTCACACGTGTATTGGCTTAATTCTTTAGTTGGACGACGAATCCAACAAGATCTACATGGGGGTACATGTCTGACAAAATGACCGAGTCAGATTCTACAGTCAGATTGTTATATTTGCAGTGATTTCTTTCACCGACCTTTCCCACACGGCAGCTGTCCTTCTTGATTTTGGCAATGTGGCAAATCTGATAGTGCATCAACAATCCTTGGATCAATCAAGCTGGTTCAAAGCCCTGGCACAAGTACTGGGTCGTATAAATATATATAGACATATAGATATACAATACTCCGGTGTCGGACCAATGCGGTACACCCAGCTGGCACTGATTTTGACCGTTTTGGTTAAAAGTTTCTTGGATAAATTAATTCGTCAATTGAAAAACAAACAAAGTTGTGTTCCTACTGATTTGGGTGCAATTTCCAAGCAAGCAACCATATTCTTTTATCAACGCCTAATGTTGGGGCTAATCAAAATCACCAGTAATATCAAACAATAACAATCAAACAAAATGATATGTTTTCATTGCAAAACCAGTATTGTTTTTGGCTGGGCCACATTCCCATCCCAGGCTTGGATGAGGCTGACCATCGTCAGTCCGCGGACTTTCTGGAAGTGTGCGCAGGAGTGCTGTTGTATAGGGCCCTTTACTAGACACTTCTTTACATACACCAAGTTCTTTTGGCGTAGAGCCTCTGAATATACCTTGCCGCCTTTTAGCTAGTTTTGCAATCTTAAGATCTGCGCTCTGGCACAGGAGCGCACATCCTTCACAGCGGCGTACAGCTGGAAGGCATGTCAAGCCGTGCTTTCGATGCTACCTGACTGAATCTCTCCAAGTGTGATACAATGATAGGGGATCCAAGAAAGTCTATTCCCAAAAATACCTTGATGTGCAAGACATTTTGGGGGTGGTTTTCGGTTATTTACCATTGTGCAACTAAGATCAACTACACGAGAAAGATGGACCTTCTGAGTACATTCGGGTTTCTCTTGTGCGTAAACTACGCTTCTCTGGCTGCATTGAAAAGTTGATTTTTGTTTCGCTTCTTTTGGAACCTCTCGGTTGGTTGAAATTTTTGAAATTCCGTTCCAGCTAAGATCCGGCACTTAAAGCAGTCCGCATGCGCATGGTTTGCTATTCCCTGCTCCAGCTGGGTGTTTATGTATCTTGGTTTATTTTTCAGAAAACCATGTTGACAATTGCTGGGACACCTCGTATACCAGTTTTACCATACCTTATTGAAATCCCAGTGCGCTTAGGGCGATGGGGTCTACAAGACGTACTTTTCTTCGTCCTCAAGGATGGAAGGATGCAAGGCTGAGGTCAACCAGGGTGGGCAACAGGTTGGCAAGACGGCTGTGTTACCTGTCAGGTTCTTAGCAACCAAATACCACTGCAGGGCTTCCCAAGTCGTCTTGATTTTTCATATTCCCCAAAGAAATGAACTTCCCAGGTTGGAACTTTGCTACCAGAACAAGATTTTCTACATAATCGAGCAGCCGTTGTCGTCTTTGCTGTGGCAATACAAGCCGGTTAAAGAGTCTTGCCATTATTATGTGGCCCCATGCGCTTTTCACAATGTAGTACGCCTATGATATAATTTCATTTAGTTTATCTATGTATTCATAATCTCGGTGTGGGCCCATACGTATATCTAAATTAAAACCCCAGAGATACATATTGATCTGTATATATATATACCTAAAGGTATATATGACTGAATCTGTTCAAATACTCTCCAGGAACTATCTACCTATCTATCCATCTCTATATCTATCTTTTTTTTCTATCCATCTATCCATCTATCCGTCTTTCTGTCTATCTAACTAACCATCTATCCATCTATCGACCTTTCTTCTCCGTCGGTAGTGTAGATCTATCATCATCTACCAATTTTGCCATCTATATTTCATCGTGTATCATCATCTATCCATCTACCAATCTATCCACCTTTCTCCATCTATACATCCATCTGTCGATTGATCCACCTATACATCTATCATCATCCGTCATCACCTGTCATCATCTATCCTCATATCTCCATCTAGCCATCTAAACATCTTTCCCTCTATCCATCCATCCCTTTTTTCACCTATACATCTATCATCCTCTATCAGTCTATCCCTCTGTCCATCTATGATCTACCCATCTATGCAGCTATCATCTTCTATATTCATCTATACACAGCATCATCTTGTCATGAATACATCTTGCGATCCAGTCAGCTCGTTCTGTCTAGCTTCAAACCCAAGTTTGTTTTTCAATCCTAAGAACCTGCTGCGCCGGCACAATGCTCGCATGGGCAACTGCAATCTTGGAAGCTACAACGCAGCTACTTTAAAACCGGTTTCCCAACTGCAAATAGAAAGGTTTATTACCTTAGCCAGAAAAGATTTCAAGTCAGATCCCTGGTGAACTAGTGCTACTTAGGTAACGCTTTGTGGAACTGCCCCATTCTTGGACGAGCTGGTGGAGGTTTCAGTATCCAAGTTGAAAAGGCACTGTGGGGTTGTTGTTTTACTCTTGTGTTGTCACTAATGGTCTTTGATGAATATATAGGTAAAAAAACAGGGCGGTGATTCAACCCAGCTGCCACACAACAGGTCCAAGTAATCTACGGCCCCACCGGATCCGAGCGGCCAATGCAGGCAACAGCTCAAGCGCATTCGGTCATTCCTCAAGCTGGAGACGGCCCGTGTTTACCGGGACTCTGGTGGCAAAACCCGGGTTGTAGGACCCTCAGCGGTCAAACTTTACATAATGCAATTAAAGATTCAATTAAAAAGGCTATCCCAAAAGACTGCTTTACAACACCATGGTTGTGCTTGAGCACTTCAATCAATCCTACCAAATAACCGCTCCTTGAGGCTGGGGGAAAACACTTACGATCTACCCAGATCTACCCAGGGCGGCTGGGTTTGGCTGTTCCTTGGCAAAAAAAAATATGTATATATATATATATGTATATATGTATGTATGTATGTATGTATGTATGTGTGTATGTATGTATGTATGTATGTATGTATATATATATATATCTCTCTCTCTCTCTTTGGCTAGGGGCCCCAAGCCAGCATTGATGACGATCTCAGCATATTTGAAGCACATTTCCATTTTGAGAAATATAGGCGTATCTCAAACTTGAAACCTATTAAGAAAGACCATATTTCAAAGGTTTTGGGCACCCTATAAAAGTCAACTTTGAGACACGCCTATATAATGGTATACTCAAGGATTGGGATTCAAGACCATGCAAGGTAGTTTTTCAAGGCTCTGGCACCAGGGCAATCACTTGCTGCAAAAAAAAAAGTAGTCACTCCACCCCCAAAATAGGTGGGGATTGAGAAATGGGCTCCGCAGAACCTGATCCCCAGTTTAAATTTATCAAGGAACCCAAAGTAAGTATGTATATCCATGATTTGCCGGGTGGCTCAAGGTATTCAGGATGTACGTAAATTTTCCCTGAAAGAGATAATCTTCTTGCAACAGGAAAATCCATGTGTATAAAGTGGCCAATGCCTATTTCCCTCATACCATGATCCATATATGGAGATTGTTTAAGGGGATAAATCGATTATACCATGGGTTACCCGCCTCAAGAACCAAGCCACTGGTTTCCATCCAAGGTTGGAGAGGCAATGCGCAAGCATATGGATGCCATCCCAGCAGCTGCTAAGGCTCCCATTCCTGACCAGGGGATGGCTTTTCAAGATTTTGGAGAAGATTCTAGCGACAGCGGCCTGGAGTCTATTTTCACCGGGTAGATCTGGAACCCAAATCCCAGGCCCTGATAAAGCAATTCTTTCGAGAAAAAAAAAGGTTTCAGATGGCCTTCCCAGACTATATAGGGGTCGATACTTGCAACACACACACACATTTTAAATCAAGTTTCTATGGGCGTGGGATGGTGGTTCCAGCTGATCATGACGGTCCACTTCAACATGTGGAGGATGTACAAAATGGCAAATGCCAGCAACTGAATGGGGATCTCAACGCTGGCGTGTCAACAAAGCATGTTTTTTCGTGTCATCATCGATAGAACGTGTCAAACGTGTCAACGGAAAGGTATGGGACATGTTTTCGTGTCAAAAAGTGTCAAACGTGTCAACGGAAAGGTGTGGGACATGTTTTCGTGTCAAAACGTGTCAAACGTGTCAACGGAAAGGTATGGGACATGTTTTCGTGTCAAAACGTGTCAAAACGTGCCAACTGAAAGGTATATGGGACATGTTTTCGTGTCAAAACGTGTCGACAACAGAACGTGTCAAAACGTGTCATGACATTAATGGGGTCATCATACAACAAATCATTTTTTTCAACCGAAAACCAAACGTGTCAAAACGTGTCAAAACGTGTCAACGGAAAGGTATGGGACATGTTTTCGTGTCATTTCGTGTCAGCCCCTGTCCCCGACTTGTGCCATCTTGACAGGCAAACTTTAGTTAGGCTGTGTGCCGCTCTTAGCTATCCATACCCATGGCTAGTGCTCATCCTGAGCATTGGGGCCCCGATGGTGGTCACAACCAGGGTGAGAAGGGAAAAGGAAAGGTCGCAGACTTTGTCAAAGGAGTCAGTAAGGGCAAACCGGGGAAGTCCAAGGCCAAAGGTGACTTCGGTAGCATGACCAAGGGTGACACAAGCTTCGAGAAGGGGAAATGCGCCAAGGGCGACTTCTACTTGGAGAAAGGGAAAGGCAAGCAGGGCGACATCGAGATGGACACAAGCGGCTTCATCACGGAGAAGGGTAAGGGCAAGAAGGACACCGAGAAGGGCAAGTCCACCAAAGGCGACTTCACCGTGGAGAAGGGCAAGGGCAAGAAGGGCGACGCGGAGAAGGGCAAGTCCACCAAAGGCGACTTCACCGAGGAGAAGGGCAAGGGCAAGAAAGGCTACATGGAGAAGGGCAAGTCGAACAAAGGCGACATCATTGAGGATCTCGAGAAGGGCAATGGCGGGGGCGACTTTGACATGGGCAAGACCGACTTCACCGAGGAGAAGGGCAAGGGCAAGAAGGGCGACTTTGACATGGGCAAGACCGACTTCACCGTGGAGAAGGGCGACACAGAGAAGGGCAAGTCCACCAAAGGCGACTTCACTGTGGAGAAGGGCAAGGGCAAGAAGGACACCGAGAAGGGCAAGTCCACCAAAGGCGACTTCACCGTGGAGAAGGGCAAGGGCAAGAAAGGCTACATGGAGAAGGGCAAGTCCACCAAAGGCGACATCATTGAGGAGAAGGACAATGGCGAGGGCGACTTTGACATGGGCAAGACCGACTTCACTGCGGAGAAGGGCAAGGGCAAGAAGGGCGACTTTGACATGGGCAAGACCGACTTCACCGTGGAGAAGGGCAAAGGCAAGAAGGGTTACATGGAAAAGGGCAAGTCCACCAAAGGTGACATGGAGATGTGGAAGGGCAAGAAGGGCGACATGGGCGACTCCAGCTTGAAGGGCATCGGCAAGAAAGGCGACAATATGGAGAAGGGCAAGTCCACCAAAGACGACATCACCATGGAGAAGGGGAAGGGTAAGAAGGGAAAGGTGAACCAGGAGAAGGTCGGGTTGGGTGGGCATGGCTATGCATGACTCCTGAAATATTGTTCGTATGTGTTTTCAACTTTTGTATGTATCAAAATGGAAGCCATCCGAAACCATAAAATCGTGACATTGTTTTAAAGTTGCCAGGCCACCGACAATGATGACTTCAAGCTGCCACCGACTTTGTCAAGTGGCTATGGTGTCATGACTGAAGATGATTTCAGCAAATCAAACTTGCAGATTCTGAATGATTTCGATTCCACTTTGAAAGCATGGGTGGAGAAGGCCAATCCCTACATGATGAGCGATGCAATCAAGATTGCTTCCAAGCATGAATTCTTCCCCAAGTACTTGGCTGACCTTTGGGATTCTTTGGAGGACCACAAGTTTGGTCAATTTCCCAAGGAGGATTTGATCAAGTTCGAACTCTGGTTGAAAAAGCATGAGATTTCAGAGAAGAAGGCGGCAATTACACCTAGTTCCAAAGAACTGTCGTCCCCTGAAGAACCCAAGACCGAAGCCTACAAGGAATATTGGAAAAAATACGAGCGAAAAAATGCAGGATCCAATCTTTCCATCCAAGCCAGTTCTACGTCAACGTCACCAGGGGCTTCTAGTGGGTCACCCTCGCCCAGCCCAGCCACTGAAGCCACTTCAGCCCCAGATTCGGAAACTGGCATCACGCCGGAATGCAAGAGGAAGCTGCAGCTTGAAGGCCAGGTCGTTGCAGACTGCTTCAACCTTGAATGGCTCTGGCCGGGCTGTTAACCCCAAGACCTGTCCATATATATATATATATATGTGTATATATAGATATTGCAATATGTCATAAATAATATATTTATGTATATATATAATATGTATATATATATATACATAATATGTAAATATATATATATAATAATATATATATAATATGTATATATATAATATGTATATATATACATATATGTATAGATATAAAATGTATAAATATATATATTTATTTATTTATTTATGTATATATAATATATATATATATATTTATTTATTTATATTTGTATATACATATATTTATATTTAGATATTGCATATCATTAAATATCTGGCAGTGGTGGAAGCTATAAATTAGATTGGGTACGCCATATCCCAGATAGATCCCAAACATTTCGATCTTACATGGTTTTCCATACCCTGGCTGATTTAGAGGCGAAGACTCTGACAGATCTTCCAGGTTAGGGCCTTACACTTTGCAGGATGGTTGTGAATTTGTGCAAAGGGTTTAGTCCACAATAGTTGGAAAACATGACCACCTTTCCTATCGCAAAGTTTCCTTTCAGATGCTGGGGGTATTATATGCTGTTGACCCAATTGATTTCAATTCAAAGCACGTTCAAGTCGCATTGAGGCCCCCCTTAATGCGCCGGAGTACCAGCGTTATGTCCGACGGTTCTGGCGACGTGTCCATGGAACCACTTGGAGAACATTCCGGAGGAAGGGTCAAACGAGTTGGGGCCCAAAAAAAAAACAAAACACCTTATTAGGTCGCACTATCATTCCCATTCCTCCGCATTAACCTGCAAAGGTCAAGATGTTGACGGGCGAGGATGCGGAGCGCATCAAGGCCAGCAATAATATCCTGTAAAACAATGCATTTTTTATATTTTATGATTATACAATTTATATACACCTATATATTCCATTCTGTGTCAATGTTCGAAAAAAACAGATAAGTCATACAACTGCCTTGTTTGGACCCAAGTGACCAAACTATCATTTTTTTAATGGTTCTGGTGTACCTTTGACTTTATGGTTTCCCTTGGTACTGCAGGCGATGACCTGCTTTGAGGATCTTGCACCCGAGGAGAGGAAAAGGCAGAGAGAGGCTCTGCGCCGCAGACTGGCCCAGCGAGGCCATATACTATCACTGCTTTGGAAATACTTGTTTATCATGATGGTTCTCAAGTTTGAAAACGAAAAACAAACGAGCATCCTTGAATCATGAATATATAAATATATATGTATGTATATCAAACATACACACCCCGTTCCTCCGACTCCTTTGCCAGGATTGCGGCCGGGGCTCATCCAGAAATGGCAGTCGTGCCAAACCTCCAAAGCGAAGTTCGAGTTCCTCCGAGCATTTATGTTGGACCCCCAGAATATGTCTTCAATCACCATTGAAGCCGAATAAGTTGATGCAGCCCAGAATGATGAGAATTCCCAGTGGAAGGAATTGCCCCTTGTGAATATTCGACAAATGTTTCCTGGTGAAGCTGGGCAACGGTTTATTCAAAACGAAATCATATCCAAACAGGGTGGGCGACAACACCCTCAGGATATTGATGGTTCCAACCCCGAACTTCGCCTATATTGGGTGTTCACAGAGACATCCGATGTTACCAGAAGCAGGCAGTCGGTAGCCACCCGTGTCAGTGCGAGAGGTGAGGTACCACAAAACAAAGCGGCAATGGCCGCGGTTGCTGATGGGGTGTTGGCTCGTGGAGCCGATTTTGCTTCGAAGGGTGGGGGAAAAGGTGCTGAAACAACACCTCCCATAATGGGCAAGGGCAAGAAGGGAAAAGGCAATGGAAAAGTTGGTCCTCCCAAAGCCAAGAAGGCGGGGTCTATGGGGCGCAATTACATGATTTTATTCAGCAACAAATTCCAACAGTTATACATGGAAGTATAAATTCCGGTTCTGTTTCACTCCCTTCACCCACGGTGCAATATGTCCTTCCCACATATGCAGTCCATCTCCATCCAGATTAAATGATAGCGGTGTAGCTTTGTCCTTGGCAGGTGAAGTCGGCTGAGGAAATCAGGAAGAAGGATTTCGACGACAAGCTTCAGAAGTTTCTGTCTTATGGGTTGGTCATTTCAATCTTTGTCATCCACATCATAGCACGATTGTTTGACTTGAACTTTTTTCCACACCCCATTGCGGCCCTTGCGGTGTTTCTATGTTTCCGACAAGAAAAGACGGTTTTGCGATGACCCTTCCACAAATTAAACCACGTCTCCACCAGCATCTCGTCTGATTCTTCTTGACGCTGAGGGTCGGCAAGCTGGCCTCAAAGGCTAGGGCGGCTGCTGAAGCAATCACCAGCAGCGGCATCAACCACCAAGAGGCCACCGAAGGAAAGACAACACATGAGTTCTTCCTCTCAATTTAAAGAAAAATGTAGAGATAGTTCTCGATCAGATGTATATAATACATATGTTGGGTAGTGGTGTTATCTGTATATATATATATATGCATATATGTAGATATATATATATATATGCATATATGTAGATGTACATCTGTCATGTACATATATATATATATATATGTATATGGAATTTGTTGCAACCATAATTTCTTACCATTTCACTTGATTCGAGGCGACCATTGCCCACCTGAAGGGCATTTACTCCAAGCTCAACAAGATCTCGAAAGAGTTGGAATCATAGTTTTGTCGTGATCCCTGAAGTTCAGAATTATCATCTTTAGTCAGACATCAAAATCTTTCGCGATCTATGCCCCTTATAGTTTTCTTTATCCACATATAGTTTGGACCTGACACTTGGTATTTCGACATTCAGTGACAGTAATTGTTTTAACAAATTGATCTCGAAACAGTCCTAAGTATATCCACCAGCTGTCAGATACTTTTGCTTTTCTGTGAGCCACTATATCCCCAGTGCCCAGGATTTCCGACGATATCTTCCGAAGTGTCTCGTTTGATATCTGCGAAGACAACCTGTCCAAGCATGACCCGTTCATCCAGGCTCAACCGAAGGGCTTTGGCCATTCAAAGAAGTTGAAAACTAGGACATGTTGCCATTTTCAACAAAGATCCCAAATTTTCTGGCCAGGATGCAGCCAAACAAGTTCAGGAGGCAGAGGGAATCAAAGAGAGCCACGACCGACGTCGGTTACTCAGCAAATGGTCCCCAAATCTTTGGATTCGACATGAAATAGGGTTCCTATTGGAGATAGATGCCAATGCCAGAAAACAATAACTTAGTCAACTTCCCTGTAAAGGTATCTTCTTAGAAGAATCTCACCCCACCACATTGTGCCTTGCCTGACTGCAGAGGTGTTGCTGCCGAAAAGCGCAAAGCTGAGAAGGCAGCAGCAAAGGCCTCGGGGAAGGCCAAAGCCAAGGCGAAGTCAAAGGGTAAGACCCATCCCATGCCCGAGGATGAGAATGAGGTGGTCCAGGATGAGTGGCCAGAGGATGCTCCTAATAACAATGATGATGATTGCGATGTCCCTGACTTGGATGGCGAACCGATGGATGAAGATGAAGACATGCCGGAAATGGATGACGAAGAGATGTAGGGTATAGCCGTAGTAACTTTTCACTACCAACACATGACGGGGTTTTCATGGCACAAAACGCCATGTGGGCAGGGTGCACTGCTTATGCTGGTGTACCACCATGGGGGTCGGTGTGTGTCCCATAGTTAGTTCAGTGGGGTCCCCACAATTTCATTACAACAAAAAAAATATAGTGGTTGAAAATCATTCGGGCTTTTGTCCATATGTTTGTTGGTTCACTGATTTGAGTGGGGGCCTCTTGATTTGAGGGACCGCTGGCGATTTGCGATTTATCATCCTGTCCTAGCTGGAGCAAACAAAGGGATCTTGAGATTGCCTGCATGCATACATTGGCCAAAGTTGGTGGCTGCACCCATATACTCTGTGATGATCAAAAGGTCCCTGCATATCTGCAACAACAATTCCCGCTGCATTTGAAGCTTAATTAATTTTCCAAAGGGAACATGCATGACTTCTACTGTAGCGAGCCCGGTGCATGAAGCACTTGAGTCGACTATCCATGGCCTGGTTGAAGAATTTTTTGAGATGTTGGGCGATGGGGAGGCCTGGCATAATTCTTTGGATGTTTTTGAAACCTGTTGCGTGGTAGTTGATTCAACTGTCTCGTCAACTCATCTGCCACAGGTTCAAATGAGAAGGATACAGTCCCTTTTATGCTCAGACCTCAATTCTTTAAAATATCTTGAAACCCATATCAGAAAATCCTAAGTCCACACAATCATTACCCTATCTATTTTCCTTTTAACACATTTTTGGGGTCTTGACTCAAGAATTTTGCTCTATGTACTTGTTCGGCTCGATCAAGGTCGATTAGAGCAGCTTCCTCACCCACTAGTGCCGCAACTCGGCACAAATCATAAGGAATATGCCATCTATGGTCTTTCAATTGCCTGAAAGAAAAATTGATTGAACTTATTGGCCTCGCTCAGGGCTTCCGTGCTGAAGCTGATCGAATCCCTCCAATCTCGAACCGGATCCTGGGGACCTGGACGAATCCTCGAAAGGTGGACTCATAGTCAACCTTGGCGTGGCTGGGTGGCAGGGCGGTCTTTAAACTTTCTTCCAACCAGTGGTAAAAAAAAGGAACCCCAAGATCTTGAAAATGATGCACTGTAAACAACAGACATGGCTCAGGCAAGGCACTCCCTTTACCGTTTGAGAGCCTTGATTGCAAACAAAAATCTAAAAAATCAAAAGGGTATGATTACAACACCATCTCAATGAACACATTTGGGAAAGTGAGGTTTACAGTGCCGATGTGCTACGCGGATGCTTGGGGAGAACGGCGAACCGAATGCATCCATAGTATGTTACTTCCCCATGAAATTGTGGCTGCCTTTTACCGCTTCCAACCAAGAGATTTGATGATTGGCCTGACCGGTCAACCTGGAGACGCTCTGTCTAAATTTAAAATGCATCATGGTGGATGTTCTTTTATGTAGTCCTCAAATTATGTCATATACCTGCGATTTAATAAAGTGGATCCGCATTACCTCACTGGGGCCATGCACTGCCTTCGAATCATTGTAGTGTATCTGCGCATCCTTCACAGCACCTGCGTCGGCCAAGGAGCTGGCAAAGTTTTGGCATGAAGAAAGGCACACCGAGTGGTACCAGAACCACCCGCTTTTCCAGGTGGCTCCAATTCTGTTGGTCGGTGATTTTCTTTTGAATGATCCATTACCATCACAAATCAAAAAGGAAACCCGAACCACATGACTAGGTGGTGGACCCAGCCTTTGTTTTGCCCCTACGACTTTTCGGTGATGGAGCGGAATCCCAAAGCCCCTTTGCTTTAAAATGGGGACACTTGAGTGTAGCCGTACATTAAAAAAAATATATATATATATACATCTCTACCTATCTATCTTTTATGTTTACTTCCTTTGGTATATACATTCAATGGACTAATTGGTTCCTATATATTTGTATATACATATATGTATTTACATCTATACATGCATGGTGGTAATGTACGGCTTCGATCCAGCAATTTTGTGGCGAATACGAAAAAACCCAAAAAATAGATAAATGCTTTGCCTCTTGCGCCAAGGAAAACAGAAATTTGAGCTCATCAGTATGATTTTGCCCCTGGCCTCATCATCATCGACCATGGACACGAGGATTATGCCCCATGGCTCTAAGATGGTATGTTCTGTTAAAGCTGGTTGCTGTTAGCCCCTCATTACCAACATTTGCAACCAAACCGTTTGCTGCTTTCAGGCTCTCCTGCATGAGCGCTACATACTGCAATCATCTTTCGAGGAGAAAAATCCTTGAAGCGATCACTTGGAGTTTTCAATGCTTGTGCAACTTGGATTCAGCACCCCATATGTTGCAAGAAAGCAACAAACCTGATTCCCTTTTCAGATTGATGTTAAAAAATGTAATGTGGAAACCCAACATTCCCAATAATTAAGTTACCATTCAAAAAATACAAATCTGGTAGGCCCAGTAATGAATCCCAAAAACAAAATGGCTAACTATAGGGTTCACCAAATTATGCGTATATATAAATACATTATCATATATATTACGATTCATAGTAATATTTTTTTACCAGGGGCAATTTGTTCCAAACATGGAATAGCCCGATCTATACTCTCCGCAATGCCCGATTCAGGTGATGGTTTCTTTCCACAAGCCGATCCCTGGGGCAAAAAGTTCAGCCAGGAGTACTGCAAAGACCGTTGGCGTGTGGCAGGCCAAAGGATTGCTGGGCCATTTCATGGATGTTTGGAGGGGATACAGGGTGACCAGGATTACATCCGCACCATGATGTCACCATCTCGTTTCCAGGCTGTTTTGTGTGTCTGAAATCAAATTGTTGATTGTTCTTTTCTGGTCCCTTAGCTGGTAGCCTCATCCAATTTTTTTTCACCGATGATCTAAGGTTTCTTGTCGAGACAACTATGTTGCTACTACTGCAGGGCCCTTGCTTGGAACTATGTTGGTCACGACCCACGGGAATCTGAATTTCTTTACACCAACTTTGGGGTGAATGCGGCCCACAGAACCACGTGCCCTGGATTCATCCAACCAAAATCCAAAGAAGAAATCATGGGGACCCCAGTCAATAAGGTGAGCCAACCAGTGTTGTGATGAAAAGGTCCATACTTAAGGGTGTTGTTTCTTGGGGTGTGGTGTAAACACATATATCTTTAATGGGATTGCCTGAAACTGGCGCATTTCGAAGTAGAATGGTTTACCCTCTATTAGTTCAAACTGAAAACAAGGGTAATTTTTACCAAGCGCGACACACACCGTATATACATTATATGTACATATATATATTATATATATATTAATAAAAATCTATCTGTCTATCTGGCTATCGATCTATCATTATCTATCTGTTTATATTTATCACTTTATATATATATATATATCGCCCAGCCCTACGCTTTGTTTCTGAGAGGGGCTGCCACGCGACCGCTCAGGCTAGTGACTCTTGACGAATGGCTAGCTGTCAACACACATTCGCCGTTGTGCAGTGTCCCAGGGTGGTCACCATGGCGACTCTTGGTTAACTAATGCGGTGAAATCTGTTTTTGATCCCGGTGTTGAAGATTTTGGGGAAGAGAGCGATTCTGGTTTACATCTTCGCGTTCGACAAAAATCAAATGGGATTTCATTTTTTGTGAAAGAAATTTGACTGACCCACAAGGAATTTTACCGGACCAAATGCACTTGGTGCATTTGGCACTTGCCCCCGATGCCATCATATCTTGTCTTTTGGATTGGAGTGACCCAAACACTCAGTATCTTCATGGTTCTTCCCGGGATGCTCGTCTACAAACTTTGTGGGAAAACTACAGAGCATACTGTGAGGATCAGAGTATCACAGAACGTGCCCAGCGCAGGCTTTTTAGTGTGCAGACCCTCAAGCCCGACAGTGACAAATTTGTAGATATATCACAAAAAATTCTGAACGCAAGCGCGTGTAGATATATGATATTCTGGCTGGCTAGTGTGGCCCAACACTTCGCAACAATCTATGGCTCAGTTTCCGACATGCACTTTGGTTTGACCATAACAACATTTTTTTGGTGGAAAAAACGCAACATTTCATGATATGATCGTGCACGTGCCATGCAATTTTTGCGCTGAAAAATCCCTGCCCTTAAGGTACCGGGCTGGTGTGGCATGCGGGCTACGCGAGATGGAAATTGTCTGTTTGGAGAGTGGCCGTCGCTATTCCCTTTCTGCCTGGAAAAGATTGGAGGAAGGCTATTTGTGTTACAGAGCGGGGTCTTTGCACTTAGCCAATTTGGCAGTGTCCTTGGGTCAGCCCCGTTGGCATGTTCGGCCAAAGAGCCACTATCTAGAACATGCTGTGTATGACTTTGAAAGGAAAAATTTGAGGTACATGAGTAACTACCTGGATGAAGATATGATAAGACGAATAAAGAGGATGGCATGTGCTGCAACTCCTCGATATGCTTCAAAGCATGTCTTGTTTCGATATGCGGTAGCTGCAACGCTACGATGGTCCGGCATGATCGAGTGAAAAAAAAACGCGTTTGAACGTGTGCAGTTTGAAAGTCAGCTGGGAAAGGCTGATTGATTGCATGAGGGTCTCCAGATTTTTCGCTTTTAACAGATGCACAGAGAGGAGAGGAGGGGAGGGGAGGGGAGGGGAGAGAGAGAGAGAGAGAGAGAGTGAGAGAGAGAGAGAGATGGAGAGAGAGAGAGAGAGTATACGAAGAAAATCATGCGTATATATTTTATTTACACATATAATATATTGATATTTTTATTATTATATATATATGTAATGTAAAATAATATTTAAACACATATATACATATATACATATGTATATATATATACACCTATATACGGTGTGTGTCCTGTTTAGGTGATATGTCAAGGATTATACAAGGGGCACAGGCTAATATATGCACCTTTCTCCAGTCTTTTCAGTGAAGTGAACGATGCAAGCTATGCTTTGCCCTTTTCTAGCCCATGTTTTTGTGGGACGAGCAGCGCTCCAGTTATCCAATTCCTATTCCAATCCAATCTTGCAATGCTGCGTTGCACTGCAAGCTATATTGTACTTTTGTGCAAGCCAAGATACACAAGCTGGCCTACAAACCTGGGACCGAAAACATATATGTTGCTGGTGTCACTGGGGTGGGTGGGCGTGCCAAATGGCACCGGCAACATACAAGGCACCGGCGACATACAAGGCACCGGTAACATAATGATTAGGAACAGTCCTCCTTGGTAGGAAAGAGAAGAAGAACATCATCGCGCGTGCAAAAGCAAATCCAAAGAAGATGATGAGGTCCGCATATTGATCCCCGAAACTTCAAAACCAAGAACGGTTTGGTTCTTGTCTGCATTTGTTGAACGGTCTTGGGTCAACTTAACTTGTGGCTTTAGTGCCATGTCTGCCAGGTGGAGTGCGCAAAAGGAGGAGTGGTCTTACTACGTGGAGACTGAAGTCAGTGGCCATTCAAAGTGCCTAGCTTGCTTGCATGTAATCTTAACTCTGTTGTCTCAGACTGGCTGAACATATGTTAAACAGGCAGCATGTTTAACATTCATGGACTGACTCGATGCAACAGCTGAACCGCATATGTTTTCTGCATCGTTTTTGCACTTGTTGCATTTCCAACTCAGGGACCGGATGAAGGCTGGCCACTCAGAAAGCGCAGAGTGGGAGACTGAAGAAACCACTCTTGACATGAGCTTCGACATGGACCTACCACTGGAAGGTGGGTTGCCCACATAAATTGTGAGTCAACCAAACGCTTGTGGCAACATCTTGCCTAAATTGGTACTGGCTTTCCACAAGCTGACCAAACTCTAGAAGCATGTGTATTGTGGTATATTCCATATGTACAGTATATAAAATCCTGGTTCGAAGCTGGTCTCTCGGTATCACACATGCCACTGATCCCCGTGCACCTGCAGTTGGCGGTGCCGATGTTGTCCCTGGCGACGAAGATGGTGGTTTGCCACCTTCGGCACAGGAGACAATGAAGTTGTTGAAGCGGCTGGGGTACCCGGAAGTCCAGGACACCACCAAACCCTCAGCCCTGCTTACGAAAGTCAGCACAGCCTTGACGAAGCGCATGGGGAAGTTGGAAGAAGTGAAAAAACTCTTTGCGGCGGGAGGTGACTCAGCCCTTGTCCGCAAGAATCTCGGAACATAACAGCCATTCCCACTGAATGCATATTGTTTCTCCGAACAAAGACTTCTAGAGCACTCTCCGGCTTTTCAGGATGTGCGACAAGCTGGAGGAAGTGTATGCCAAGCTGGATTCGCAGAGTGAGGCTCTTTCGGCTGAAGCCAATGCTGGCATTCTGGAAGGCTTCACCCAAGAGTCCAACCCTCAGCACATGTTTAAAACCAATCCTACATCACTTCAGCTCTTTTGATTTCTGAAGATATTTTAGACCAATATATATATATTATATATATATATATAGAATCAAGAAGCTCAGCAATCTTCAAAAACTGTAGGCCACAAGCTCTAAAGTGAGAAATGCGCGCGCTTTCTGAGGAAGGAGACCGCCTTGAAAGATATGGTGGACAGTGCCCGAAGCGCGCTAGGCCCTCATATGTCCACTGCACTGCTTACAGGTAAAAAGCTTTGCCCTCAGTTGCTTTTGAGGTTGCTGGAAGCTTTCAATTTGGAGTCAAGAGCCAGGACCGAATGCACGATCATTGCACCTATTTATATTCACACTTCCCCAGGCTAACTCCGTTGATTTTTTTGCGGGTTCTCAAGCTCCTATAGGGGTTCCTAAATTCACACACCTGTCAGGAGCATCGCGCCCAAAGCGGTGAGCGCCAAGCGCCCGCCACCTTCGAAGAGTTCCAAGGCGAAGGCAGCCCCGAAAGTGCCAGTTCCCAAGCCTGCTGAGGACACGCCCAGCAAGACACCAAAGAGAGCATCAGTGGCAGTTCCAAAGGAGACTGGTCCCAAGAAACGTCCCCGTAAGTGAATTGAAAAGTCAATCACTTCGGCTTGGCAATTTTGACTTTGGCAGAAAAGATGTGATGACATCAGGACAACAAAAGGACCGCTGTGCCAAAACATGCCTGCACTCAGTTCAGTTTGTCCTGGATTTCAGCGCTGATAATTTTTTAATGGCTGACCCCAGTCAAATGAATATGGTGAGAATTTCTCAGAAGGCAGGTGGCAGCGTCTTTTGTGAGCCAGTCTTTCGTTATCCATCTTTGCCAGGTGAGGAAACTTCTCGACAAAAAATGTTAGAAGTCTTGGCGGATGAGATTGGTGACGGTGTCTGGCGCTTGGCCCTGGTTGTTGCTGAACCTGCAACCTTCCAAACTCCTCCATTCTTAAGCGGCTCAGGCCCCAGCTTGCCGAGTTGGAACTATGGCCAGAGCAGCAGTGGCCGACGGTGCGCCCAACGTAGGCAGCCTGTATGCAGCCACCAAAGTGCATCCAAGTCATGGAGAGCGAGATGCTCATCGACTTCTCAACAAGTACTGGCTATCTTTAAGGGTACCCATCAGTGAACTGACCATACCATTGGATGATGGCCAAACGGTGTCCATCCCACACTACAAGGTCTTCATGGGTTACGAAGCACTAGTTCAAGTTTTGGGGTATTGAAATGCTGGAGAACATTCTTTGATACAAACCTTTGTCTCCGAAATACTGAAACTATTCTGATGTTCAACCATACCGTGAACATGCTTGGACATGCAGTCTTGCATGTATTGTTCAACCTCTGGAACCCTGCAGGTTACTGACATGGCTGGACATCTGTTGACGAAGCATCCAGAAATTTTGTTGGGTGGGGATACGCTTGAATCTGGCGAATCCCGGTGCAAGTCGTTTTGGGAGAAGTTCCGCGACCACCAACCAGACCACAAAGTGTTTCAACAGTTTGTTGACTTCCGTCGGGTGGTGCCAATTTGCATCCATGGTGACAAAGGCCGTACTCTCAAAAAATCCCCCATAGCATGCTACTCATGGGAGTCTGTGTGGGGCCTACCTGCTGGGCTTAGGGACACGGCAACAGAACCTGTCATCAACCGGCGAAACCAGCAGAAATATGACACAGGCCACTTGGGGGTCACGTGCTTAGAGCGGTCAACATCGTCGAATGGTGGAGGAACGTATGACGATGCTGACGATGCCTGCACCATCAAGCGGCGGCGCCTGGGCCAGTGCGGTGAGTATGACACTCACAATTCATTGGGATTCCTGGCTGGTTTGTTTGTGCATGTAAATCCAATGTCCTATAAGAGTAACATCCCCTTTCTTCTCCACCAAAGTGTAAAGATCATCTCTAAGATCTGCAATTGTTGCTAACATGTTGGCTATTTGGTTCAAGTGGTGTTCAAAATAATTCAACCAAATTTTGTCAGTCGTGCCTCTGTGTGTTACCCCCCCTTCATCATCAAGACCATCAACCTACTCATCATCATCCTCATCATCTTCTTCTTTTTCTTCTTCTCCGTAAGCATCACCATTATCATCATCAACATCACCATCCTCATCACCACCACCACCACCATCATCATCATTCTCTCACCGTCACCGACATCACGGCCATCACTAACATCATCACCATCATCATCATGACCCTAGAGTCAAAGGACTCCCTAATACAAATTTACATCGCCCTTGGTTTGCTGTGCTACCCCAGGACACTCTTTCTTGAACCGGTACCTCTTCACCTGCGTTCCATATGCTGTCTACAGCTTGGACAGTTACACCGTACTTAGAACAGTCCTCAAGGAGTTGGGGTCGCAACTGAAGAGTTTGTTTTTGGACGGTGTGGAAGTGAATTCTACCACGTACCACTTTGCCCTCATAGGTGTGAAGGGGGATGCAGAATTCCATGTGGAAGCTGGAGAATTTTGCCGTTCATACATGACGGTTGGAACAGCCAACAATTTACAAATGTGCCATGAATGTGAAGCTGACGACAACTTTGGCGATGTCTCTGACAACCACAGCTGGTTGAACACAGTTGCTTAACTCATTCTATAGTTCAGTTTTGTAGTTGCCCACCATTTGTTTTGATTACTTTTTGCCCCAAAGGCATGAACATCAGCTCTGCACCTTCCCATTCTGCCGGCAAGGTTGGAGCATCAGTGCCTTGGAATCCAGATGAGCCACCACCATTGATTTCCGTGCCGTACAGTGACCAGAACCCTGCTAGTCTGTACAAGAGAGACATGTTTCATGTCGTGAAACATGGAGTTGGAAGGGAAGCAACAGCGTCTTTATTGCTTCTTCTGTCTTACCTGCTGTATTTCGATTTTCCGGGTGAAACAAAAAATTTACCCGACAGACTCAGCCGTGGTTTCTCTATGTTCAAACTTTGGTGCGAGACTCACAAGAAAACGCCATCTTTGAAGAACTTCACAAAAGCAAATTTGCATTTTGACAAGCAGCGATCATTTCCATACATGGGTGGCAAAGGTTCAGATTGCACCCTGGTTTTGATGTGGTTAGAATTCTTCATCCGCTGTTGCCTTCTGGACATGAAAGGGGACCACAAAGTGTTGTTGACTGCTATGTTGCAGCTGTGCCAGGGGCTACTGAACTTTCTAGGGATCATGCATGGACATGACTTGTGGCTTCCAAGAAGCTGCGCTCAGTTCATGATGAAGCAAGGACTTCAGGCATTGAGGGCATATTCGTTCTGTGCCCGTGAATGTTTGGGCATTAACCTAAGGTTATTTTGTATGCGCCCCAAGTTTCACTCTTTAGCCCATACAGTGTTTGAACTACGGGCCGCTGTCAGGGGGAACCACCAATTTATTTTGAACCCATGCATCTTCAATTGTGAACAGAATGAGGACTTTATTGGGAGAATAGCTCGAACCTCACGTCGGGTTTCAACCCGCCTGACAATATACCGTACTTTGCAACGCTATGGGGTAAGTTTCCAAAGCCGCTTGCGGCGAATGAGACAAAGGAGAAGGACCCATTGAAAATGTTTACTGTTGTGTTGTGTGTATACCCAACTAAATTTTAAATTTGGGGATGACATGTGCAGCATTCAAGACCCCTGTCGGTTCATGACGGTTGGAACCATATATATAATTGGATCATTACAGTTCATTGTGGGACCTATTAGCTTTATATATTAAATTAAAGCCTGTATAATGGGAGGACATAGGGTTTTGGACATTATCTGCATGATGATATATGCAAACCTTCTCCATGGTATGCCAGACCCCTGAGGGGCAGGCATTTCAGCCGCAGAGGATGGTCGGATCAGGTTTTTGGTCATCTTGATCAAAAAGGCCGTGCGCACAGAAACCCAGCAAAGACCTGTTTTGGAAACAAATACGTTTTTATATAAACAAATACGTTTTTTGAGCTGAAATCGTACGAATACAAAAAAAACGCAGACTTGGGATATCTAGGTAGAGATGTAACAAGCATGGTTCAAATTCAAGTTGAGTGTAGTCGCCTGATGTTCGAAGATTCGGGCCCCGGATTCGGGGCCCGGATGGGGAGCCCAATCTCCATGAAATGGGTATATGGTAAGTGCAGCCTTGCAAACTATGCCTTAGAGATGTAACAAGCATGGTTCAAATTCAAGTTGAGCGTAGTCGCCTGATGTTCGAAGATGCCTGGATGGGGAGCCCAATCTCCATGAAATGGGTATATTGTACGTGCAGCCTTGCAAACTATGCCTCAGAGATGTAACAAGCATGGTTCAAATTCAAGTTTAGTGTAGTCGCCTGATGTTCGAAGATTCGGGCCCCGGATTCGGGGCCTGGATGGGGAGCCCAATCTCCATGACATGGGCCATGGGTAACCTTGCAAAGTATGCCTTAGAAATGTAACAAACATGGTTTAAATTCAAGTTGAGTGTAGTCGCCCGATTTGTTCGAAGCTTTGGTTCGGGGCCCGGATTCGGGGCCCGATTCGGAGCCCAAGCTCCACGAAACAAATGCAGGTATATACTGCTAAGATCAATTGGTATGCACAGCGTTGAACAATGCCTGTCAGGGATGTAGCAAGCAAGACATGCAAGCTCTGCGCATTTACTCGAAGTTCGAGCCTCCAATTCGGGCCCCTGTCTTGTCATTTTTCTTGGGTTCTCGACATTCTGCAGGCTAGAGATAGCAGGATCGCGTGCTTCTCGACAGAGCTCGGTTGCCTAGAATTTCCAGAAGCGTCATGTTGCGTCATCAGTCATGCGTGGTCACCGACTCTTCTGATTATCTGACCTTGGAACATGTGGGAATGCCTCCGCCGCATCCTTTGCCACTTTTCCATTTCAAACAGGGATTTTGCGCAGTCAGCTAAGATGAACACGGACCAGTAGAACCTCCCTTACTAGGGCTACATCTCCAGGAATCACGCCAAGTTAGTACTTGCGTGTTTTTCATGGATGACTCATTGTTTGAATCACTGCCGCGTCCAACCATTGATAGCCATGGACAAGCAGGTATATAGTAAAGGTTCTCAGGCTCAGAGCTTCAGCATGTCCACCTGCCGCCAGAGCAAGACATCGAAGAGCGATGCTGCGGGCCGGAGCAAGTCAAAGAGATCATCAGAGCAGGTTGTTGCGGACACACCCGTGAAGAAGGATGATGAGCAGAAAAAAAAACTGCCCACAAAAAGCAACTTGGAGTTTTCAACCCAAACCCGCAAGAGTCCTTAGCCATGCTCTGGCCCAGCCATACGGGATGCCATATTGACGAACTGAATAATGTTGGGTATGAGGCATTTCATATTGCACACACTCTATATTCCAAAACATCTGTCAAAGTTTTGCGGTCCGCAATGCGGCCTCAGGTATGAGAGCCGAAGAAAAAATCTTAGATATCGTTTGAGTGCTGAAGACTACCAAAAGATCCAGGGCTATGATGATCTGCAGAAGCAGCTGGATGAGGCGAAGGCGCTGTTGGCCCAATGTCAGGACCCGCAAGGATTGGTGAAGAGTTTGCAGGAATCCGCTGAGCGCATACGGCTTCTCGAAAAAGAGAATGTGGACTTGCCTCGGATTTTGACAAACTATGTCTCGAACCCTGCTATGCTTCCTTGCAGAGCTGCAGATGCCTCAATCAAAAGGGAGGTTCTAGTCAAGAGGGAGGTTCCATGATAGACTGTGCAGGGCGTCCAGGAGGTGTTCATTTGGGGTGTCCTGCATCATTTTCGGCAAGTCAGGACAGGGGCCGTACACCAGTGACCTTGGACAACAGAGCTTCCGAAGACCTGTTAGGGGTGGAAAAGAAGATATGCCTTCCATTGCCTTCCATTACACTAACTTGGTCGAAGCAATCAGAATAACTGCAACATGCGTTTGTTGGGCTGGTTCATGAGATCTTGAATTCTTTGCAGTCACGGCTGCGCATTTCTTCTTTGATTTTTTGCTGGTTGTCTGTAATGCAATTTCCTTGGCAGCACATCCAGGTTGGTGAGCCTTCCGTGACTATGGGATGGAAAACCTGTGACAAGAAGGTGCTGACCTTCTGGTTTCCATGGTATTCTGTGGCCTGAAGCCTCTTAAGTATGATGAGACTCACTGCATGTAGAACATTGTATATATTGTTCCAAATATTTGCCTGAACGGACCCCTTTTTTGCCAGCTGTATCTGATACAGCTGATTGAAAGCCCCACTTGTAGAGCCATGTTGGGCCATGTTGAGGCCTATATTGGCAGGATGATGCCTCTACGGACCCCTTTTTTGCCAGCTGTATCTGATACAGCTGGTTGAAAGCCCCACTTGTAGAGCCAACTTAGGCCATGTTGAGGCCTAAATTGGTCTTGGGCTCATCTTGGGTCCATGTTGGGCCCATGTTGGACGTTTGGAGGCCTTTGTTGGAGACAACCGTCGCTTGGGTCGGGAAAACAGTTACTTGAAGTATTCGACTTTGGTTGTACAATCGCTTGTGTTTTAGCTTCATCCCATGATATTCTCATGCATGTTGGTAGTGAGGCTGCGTTTGCAGTTTGCTCTGGTTTCCGCACCTGCCAGGTGACAGTTGTTATAGATTTTGTTAGAGTAGTCCGCTTCCCGCATCTTTTTCTCCTTCTCCTTGCTTCTTCGCCAGCTCTCAATCACAGTGGGCGCACCGGCGGACCTCAACCACGAGCTTCGGATCACGTGGGCAACAGCGGGCCTCCACCGCGACCTCGACCGCCAGTGGGCAGTGCTGGGCCTCCACTGCCAAACACGTTGCCAGAATGTATCTAAGATAAAATGTCAGAACATATGCCACATCAAAGGCCAAAATATGTGTCAGATCCCACACCCGAAAAACAATGCCACAATACATGCCAGGTAAAAGGCCAGGTAAAAGCTCCTGTCTTTTCGGGAACAAGTTCACCAACTGTAATTTCAAACCGGGAACCCTTGTGAGCCTGTGAATTGAATTCATGTCAGTATTTCAGGATCGCGCTTCTGGGGAGGGCTGCCTGGCAGAATTTGCGATCCCCAACCAGATCCGGGATCGCGCTTCTGGGGAGGGCTGCCTGGCAGAATTTGCGATCCCCAACCAGATCCGGGATCGCGCTTCTGGGGAGGGCTGCCTGGCAGAATTTGCGATCCCCAACCAGATCCGGGATCGCGTTGCCTATTTGAAATTGTAAAGGGGTTCATTTTCTAACAAAACAGAATTCCAGTATTGATATTTCACTATAAATACATTGAAAAAAGCAATCACGCGATCCCGGATCTGGTTGGGGATCGCAAATTCTGCCAGGCAGCCCTCCCCAGAAGCGCGATCCCGGATCTGGTTGGGGATCGCAAATTCTGCCAGGCAGCCCTCCCCAGAAGCGCGATCCTGAAATACTGACATGAATTCAATTCACAGGCTCACAAGGGTTCCCGGTTTGAAATTACAGTTGGTGAACTTGTTCCCGAAAAGACAGGAGCTTTTACCTGGCCTTTTACCTGGCATGTATTGTGGCATTGTTTTTCGGGTGTGGGATCTGACATATATTTTGGCCTTTGATGTGGCATATGTTCTGACATTTTATCTTAGATACATTCTGGCAACGTGTTTGGCAGTGGAGGCCCAGCACTGCCCACTGGCGGTCGGGGTCGCGGTGGAGGCCCGCTGGTGCCCACGTGATCCGAAGCTCGTGGTTGAGGTCCGCCGGTGCGCCCACTGTGATTGAGAGCTGGCGAAGAAGCAAGGAGAAGGAGAAAAAGAGGCGGGAAGCGGACTACTCTAACAAAAACTATAACAACTGTCACCTGGCAGGTGCGGAAAAACCAGAGCAAACTGCAAACGCAGCCTCACTACCAACATGCATGAGAATATCATGGGATGAAGCTAAAACACAAGCGATTGTCCAACCAAAGTCGAATACTTCAAGTAACTGTTTTCCCGACCCAAGCGACGGTTGTCTCCAACAAAGGCCTCCAAACGTCCAACATGGGCCCAACATGGACCCAAGATGAGCCCAAGACCAATTTAGGCCTCAAGTTGGCTCTACAAGTGGGGCTTTCAACCAGCTGTATCAGATACAGCTGGCAAAAAAGGGGTCCGTAGAGGCATCATCCTGCCAATATAGGCCTCAACATGGCCCAACATGGCTCTACAAGTGGGGCTTTCAACCAGCTGTATCAGATACAGCTGGCAAAAAAGGGGTCCGTTCAGGCAAATATTTGGAACAATATATACAATGTTCTACAGTGAGTCTCATCATACTTAAGAGGCTTCAGGCCACAGAATACCATGGAAACCAGAAGGTCAGCACCTTCTTGTCACAGGTTTTCCATCCCATAGTCACGGAAGGCTCACCAACCTGGATGTGCTGCCAAGGAAATTGCATTACAGACAACCAGCAAAAAATCAAAGAAGAAATGCGCAGCCGTGACTGCAAAGAATTCAAGATCTCATGAACCAGCCCAACAAACGCATGTTGCAGTTATTCTGATTGCTTCGACCAAGTTAGTGTAATGGAAGGCAATGGAAGGCATATCTTCTTTTCCACCCCGAACAGGTCTTCGGAAGCTCTGTTGTCCAAGGTCACTGGTGTACGGCCCCTGTCCTGACTTGCCGAAAATGATGCAGGACACCCCAAATGAACACCTCCTGGACGCCCTGCACAGTCTATCATGGAACCTCCCTCTTGACTAGAACCTCCCTTTTGATTGAGGCATCTGCAGCTCTGCAAGGAAGCATAGCAGGGTTCGAGACATAGTTTGTCAAAATCCGAGACAAGTCCACATTCTCTTTTTCGAGAAGCCGTATGCGCTCAGCGGATTCCTGCAAACTCTTCACCAATCCTTGCGGGTCCTGACATTGGGCCAACAGCGCCTTCGCCTCATCCAGCTGCTTCTGCAGATCATCATAGCCCTGGATCTTTTGGTAGTCTTCAGCATTCAAACGATATCTAAGATTTTTTCTTCGGCTCTCATACCTGAGGCCGCATTGCGGACCGCAAAACTTTGACAGATGTTTTGGAATATAGTGTGTATGCAATATGAAATGCCTCATACCCAACATTATTCAGTTCGTCAATATGGCATCCCGTATGGCTGGGCCAGAGCATGGCTAAGGACTCTTGCGGGTTTGGGTTGAAAACTCCAAGTTGCTTTTTGTGGGCAGCTTTTTTCTGCTCATCATCCTTCTTCACGGGTGTGTCCGCAACAACCTGCTCTGATGATCTCTTTGACTTGCTCCGGCCCGCAGCATCGCTCTTCGATGTCTTGCTCTGGCGGCAGGTGGACATGCTGAAGCTCTGAGCCTGAGAACCTTTACTATATACCTGCTTGTCCATGGCCATCAATGGTTGGACGCGGCAGTGATTCAAACAATGAGTCATCCATGAAAAACACGCAAATACTAACTTGGCGTGATTCCTGGAGATGTAGCCCTAGTAAGGGAGGTTCTACTGGTCCGTGTTCATCTTAGCTGACTGCGCAAAATCCTTGTTTGAAATGGAAAAGTGGCAAAGGATGCGGCGGAGGCATTCCCACATGTTCCAAGGTCAGATAATCAGAAGAGTCGGTGACCACGCATGACTGATGACGCAACATGACACTTCTGGAAATTCTAGGCAACCGAGCTCTGTCGAGAAGCACGCGATCCTGCTATCTCTAGCCTGCAGAATGTCGAGAACCCAAGAAAAATGACAAGACAGGGGCCCGAATTGGAGGCTCGAACTTCGAGTAAATGCGCAGAGCTTGCATGTCTTGCTTGCTACATCCCTGACAGGCATTGTTCAACGCTGTGCATACCAATTGATCTTAGCAGTATATACCTGCATTTGTTTCGTGGAGCTTGGGCTCCGAATCGGGCCCCGAATCCGGGCCCCGAACCAAAGCTTCGAACAAATCGGGCGACTACACTCAACTTGAATTTAAACCATGTTTGTTACATTTCTAAGGCATACTTTGCAAGGTTACCCATGTCATGGAGATTGGGCTCCCCATCCAGGCTCCGAATCCGGGCCCCGAATCCGGGGCCCGAATCTTCGAACATCAGGCGACTACACTCAACTTGAATTTGAACCATGCTTGTTACATCTCTGAGGCATAGTTTGCAAGGCTGCACGTACAATATACCCATTTCATGGAGATTGGGCTCCCCATCCGGGCATCTTCGAACATCAGGCGACTACGCTCAACTTGAATTTGAACCATGCTTGTTACATCTCTAAGGCATAGTTTGCAAGGCTGCACTTACCATATACCCATTTCATGGAGATTGGGCTCCCCATCCGGGCCCCGAATCCGGGGCCCGAATCTTCGAACATCAGGCGACTACACTCAACTTGAATTTGAACCATGCTTGTTACATCTCTAAGGCATAGTTTGCAAGGCTGCACTTACCATATACCCATTTCATGGAGATTGGGCTCCCCATCCGGGCCCTGAATCCGGGGCCCGAATCTTCGAACATCAGGCGACTACACTCAACTTGAATTTAACCCATGCTTGCTACATTTCTAAGGCATAGTTTGCAAGGCTGCATATACGATATACCCATTTCATGGAGATTGGGCTCCCCATCCGGGCCCCGAATCCGGGGCCCGAATCAGAGGTCCGAACTTGGAGCGACTACACTCAACTTAAGTTTAAATCATGTCTCTTAGGCATACCATATACCCGCCAAGTGTATTTTAAGGAGATTAGGCTCCGAATCCGGGCCCCGAATCCGGGGCCCGAATCGGAGATTCGAACTTCCAGACTTCGAGCGACTATGTTCGGCTTGAATTTAAGTCATGCTTGCTACATTTAAGTCATGCTGTATGTATATCCATGTTTGAATTTTGGGCGTGAAGTGGTGCATTTATTTTGTAGCAACTATTTCTGGTTCACAAGCACGGCCGCTTTAGAATGGAATTCGTTTACTTTAAAATGACCCTTTCATAGCACAAAATCTCTTTCCGACTTGCACCCCTTCCTGGGTTTAGAATGACTTTTGGAACAGATGCCAGGCATCACTTCACCAGGCAGCACTTGCTTTAAAACGGGTACTGTAGTTTTTAGTAGGTTTAACTTGCTTTAAAATGGGCATTGTAGTTTTTTATCGGTTTTGGAAACCTGTAGAAACCACCATCATTTGACAAAAAAAACTGCTGACTCATTTCAATCCCAAACATTCGATTGCCGCTGCAATGTTCGTGCCGCTCTGCGTGTTGGCTACCAAAAAAATCTTAGGCAAAAACTTAACTATCTCAGTACCTCTTTTTTTAATCTTCTTCCATTGAAAGCCATTGCTCGCAACTACCAAAAAACGCCTGGGCAAGAACTTAACTTTCTGAGTCTTCCATTGAAAGCCATCGCCCGCAACTCAACGCCTAGGCAAAGACTTAACTTTCTCAGTTTCCCTTTTTTAAACCTTCTTCCATTGAAAGCCATCGCCTGCAACTACCAAAAAACGCCTAGGCAAAAACTTAGCTTTCTCAGTACCTCTTTTTTTAACCTTTGGTTCGAGCATTGTGATGAACTCACAGAAATCAAACATGGTGCGCTGACAGTGGGCAGCTCCAACAGATTTCTTGGTCAGCAGCTGCTTCCATAATCGCCTATCAACCATTGTGGCTGGTTATTGTGGTTATTGTAGGTCATTGCTATTATCAACTGATAAGCCGCGAATTCAACAGTGATCAGCCATGGAGTTTCCATGTTTTTTTTCACCAACTAAGTTTTAATCTAGCTAATACTGACTTGATCACTATTTTATTACAATTGTACTAGTATGATTTGCCACGAAGTACCCATGATCGATCAGGGGTAGTGTTATCCAGAGTGGTCAAAGTGTGCTTTGATTTTTTGGTGATTGACAATTTGCTGTAAGAATGTGGTATCCCGGCGTGCAATCCATGTTGGCGGCTGCTCGCAGCACCAGTTCGTGGTAAAGCACGACGGTGCACTGGCAGTTGCAATCTGCGAGCGTGAGCCTGAGAGCGAAACGCTTCTCGGTGCCGTCAGTGGGATGAGCCTCACAGCCAGGAGACACCGTATAGGTCGTGGTCGGTGACAAGATCCTTTGAAACAGACGCCAAAAACAAAAAAGCACATCATGCAAGAACGGTTCGACTCCCTGCCTCGCATGGTTCCGCCTTTAATGCACACACGAATCGATGAGCCACACATCCGTTTCCGTCTTCACGGACGAAATGCCCAAAACTTGCAAACTGACAACTTCAAAGACCGTCTCCAACTTCTGCAATTGTCCAGGCACGATGGCTCCCACCAGAGCGCTCAAGGATGAGACGGTGGCAGGGCAGCCAATCCAATCCTTCACAGGAATCTCCGTCAACATGCGGCAATTGTCTTGGTCGGCCAGTTCTGCCTGCCTGCAGCAAAATTTGTCGAGCAAAGGTTAACGGTTAACATAAAGGAAACAACCACCGTGTGTGAAGCATCATACAGCCAAGACACATCGCCGTCGCCATCTCTGCAGTGCATGCCACAAGAGAAGTGCTGCGCCAGCTGCCGATCTCCCACCATCTTTCATCCTTGCGCTTGGTGATCAAAACCTCCAGCTGGCTGCGCTGCCAATTCTTCGGCTTGCTCATGCCAAAAATTCTTAAGAACATCTCACTCGCGTTGCTCCTTGCTGCACAATAGCATTGCACACCAACGCATCACCATCTTTTGTCTGACGTTCCACCGAACCCGGATTCTCCACAATTTTGACCGCAACAGCAACACAGATCCGTTGCCGATCTCTGACCCGATCCAACGCAGAGAGCGGCACCAGCGGATGCACGGCTGGTATTCCCTGCCACGGATCTTCATCGAGCTTCTGCACAATGACCTGTAGTCCCAAAGGTTCTTTCAGATTCAAATGGTAATTAATGCAACCGCGAGGTAGAGTATTGGGTTGGCGCAGCTACGACAGCAGCTCCTTGGATAGAGACTAGATCACCGACCTGGCACTTTTGTGCTAACTTGTCTCCGTTTTCGCCCCAAGCTTCCACGTATAGAGTACTTCACTCAAGCTCTGCGTAGCAGCAAGATAGGCTTCCAACTTGCGAAGCGTGCGGCACTCGGGCAAACCCTTGCCAGCTTTGTTGCCTTTCCCTTTTCTGCCACCAGCCGGCGCCGCTGCCACTTGTGGTACCTTTTTCGATTGGATCTCCTGCTGCTTGAGGATCACAATGCGACTGGCCACTGCAGTATTCTGGTCGCTCCGGTACTCGGGCGGTTTCAAGCATGTCACTGCCATGTTGGTGCTTCTAGCTGTGCACATGCGGTACCCACGTTCTAGTTTGATGCGTCGCAAAGAGAGTGAAACAATGAATGCTCCTCGTGTCTGATTGCTAGGTAGTTTTCTTCAACATCTAATTTCAGTTCTTCTGGTGGTTTCTTTCCACGTTGTCCCAAAACCACCAGAACAGGAATCGATGATGTGCCGTGATGTATCAGCTAACCTCTCATAACCACTAGTACTGAGCTACTGGTACCCAGCCAAAAGCAGCTTCGAATGCAATATGTCTGTGCGATGGTGTCACCATCGCAACATAGCTTAGTCATGTAGGAAACGACATGCTATATTTTGAGCTGGAAGTTCCCACAATCCAGAGGCAGCCGCGCCTGTCCTACAGCCACGAATGTGACGATGATGACATAGAGGAAAAGTACCTGGATGCAAAAGTGCAGAGCACGTATGTAGCTATTTGTCAACGCAACTATGATCGCAAGCACAATATATGTAGAAGTTACGGCGCTGGCACAGTTTCATTCTCTTTCCAAAAGCAACATTAATACGTTGACTATAGGACCGAATTCTTTATGAACGGGAATCCGCTATGGTTCATCCTCTTAAAAATCTATGCAATCTCTGCTGGTAGAGGTAGACTATGGAGACCAGGCTCTGTCTCAACTCTGCTTTCTATATCCGGAACCAAAACTGGCACCGGGATTTCCGTTCCCGGGTCTGAAGTGGGCTCAGTCTCGCTGTCGCCCTCCGAGCGCGATTTGGCAAATTTTCGATGATTTGATATAATGTGAGTTGTGAAAAATGTGGCCTGGACAGTCACTGTGTCTGAGCTGAATGAAGCAGTGGTGATGAAAAATAATGACCATACTGTTGTCAGTCAGGTTCATGTCTACTTGGACCTGCTGTGAAAAGTCGAGCTGGGCTATGTGATAAAAAGTTGGACTGGCTGGATGTTCATAAACCCAATCGGTGCTTCAAAATGGCAACGGAAGGATGTGACACTGAGTGAACCAATTTCAAGTCGAAAGAGTAAAACAAGATCAGGCCACCTGCATGCTGCGGATACCATGCTGTTGACAACTCAGCAAAAAAAACATGTTGAATCCAAGTTGCTTACATGGCACGCCATCAAAATTGGCACGCCCTCAAAACTGGTTACACCAAAGTCATTGGCAGCCAGAGTCTTAGACCTGGCACACCAAATCTTTTGGCAACCAAAGTCATTGGCACTCACTGCTTGGTTCCTCAATTTCAATCTGGAACCTAGGCCTAAGTTACAGATTGAGACTGGCTCAGTATCATGCGGTGGGAGATCGGGGAACGGATACAGCCGCTGCATGGTGGGAAAGGTCTTCTCATCAATCTGGAACCTTCGGCGCAGGTCCCCGATCAGCTCCCCGACTGCCCCCAATGCAGATCTGGAACCTCGAGGCTGAGGCAGGTCCCCGATCAGAGCCAATTGAGATCTGGAACCTCAACGCGGGTCCCCGATCGGCAATCAAGCATCATCCACAAGTGCGCATGCAGTCAAGTTAAAGCAATCAAATTGCTGTTTTTTTTATATTTGGTACCTAGGTGTTTTTCTGAGTTGACTTTGCCTTTAAAATTGGGACACTCAGAATTGCAAGGTTGGGGTTTGACAAATTGTAAACGGTTTTTCTTGACTTCAGGGAAGGCTCCAACATAAATACAGCGACGACAAAAATCATTTGACAGTACTGACATTAGTTTTTCTGAGTCTGTCTCGTGTAAAAAAAGGGGGGACTCAGAATTGCAAGGGTCGAGGAATGGTAAGCCGGTTATTGACATAAGGGAAGGCACCGAAATCAAAACCAAAATGGATCAGGGACAAACATGCCTACACAACAAAGAGACCCAAGCTAATACTATATACATACATAGGACATTCAGGCTTTGAAGCACAATCCAAACTGATCAACTGCGTTCCATGACCCAAAGACCCAGCTTCAATCTATAGAAGGGCAGGGGCCAGTATACGTACATATATATATAAATATGTAAACATATGTATAAATATGTATACGCGCCTACGCATATAGAAAAATAAAAGACAAAGTAATATTGTTTACATCAACAAATAAATCATAGCAGATACAAGGAAGAGAAGTGCCTTGGTATGTGTGCCTACAAGTACCTACAAAGACAAAATAACCATATCAAGGTTTATATGTATATTCGTTCACTCAAAAAACACAAGAAACATGTAAATGCATGTGTGCATTTATTTATGTACTTATTTGTCTGGAGGTAGGTATCTAGGTATGTAGGTATGTAGGTATAAAGGTATGTAGGTATGTAGGTATGTAGGTATGTAGGTATGTAGGTATGTAGGTATGTAGGCAGGTAGGTAGGTAGGTATGTATGTATGTATGTATGTATTTATGAAGGTATGCATGTATGTAGGTAAGTAGGTAGGTTGGTAGGTAGGTAAATAGGTAGGTAGGTAGGTAGGGCCCGATAGGCCTAGTCCTGGTGGCCTTGGGGTCTGGTAGGCCACATGGCCCTGGGGCGTGGTGGCCCTCCGTGGGCCTGATGGGCCTGGTGGCACTCTAAGGGTGTGATTAAGGTGTTTAACATATGGTTTCCTAGTGTACTATGTCCACCTTGAACCCCAAACCTAGGATTTACAGTAAGGAACTGTTCGTCCGTGATAGATTGCAAGCATTCAAAACTTATCCAAACATGGATCCAGATTTTAAAGTCCCCAATATAGAGTGTTGTTTCATTGCTTTGATAATTTTCCCAAGTAAATCCATATAAATCCGAATTTCCCAATCAACAAATGGTAAAATCCTTTCTTTTCATGGTTGAACCCTCCGTGTTGGCTGTTGCAACCTCCATGTCTGTTGGTCAAATGAACGTTTCTGCAAATGGGATCCCCAAGTCACCATGGGTTTCAAGACTAAAATGATCCAATTTTGAATAATCTAAGGGGATCCCATGACTTAGGACACTTCCATATTTTAGTGGGATTTTCCATGATAAACCATACATTTTAATCCAGCCATGTGGGAATCATCTCCTCAGTGGCGTCAGTCGCTCCCTCGTTGCCAGCGTTGCCAGCGTTGCCAGCGTTTGCCGCCGGACGCCGTGCAGCGTGGACGCGGTTCATCATGGCCTCGGAAGGTGACCCCTTTGGGACCCCGCAATGTGGTGCAAAAGGCTACAGTTATGGCCCGGTATAAAGAGGATGGTTTGTTTTGTGGAAAGTGTATGAACATGTGGTATATTTATGGATATTACCCTCTCGTTATGTCAACAGTTTGCTATTGAAAATGCATTTTTTAATGGGAAAATCAACGATTTCAATGGCCATGGCTTCAATAGCAATGTTAAATTACCAGTTATAAATCGGTCTATTTTTCCATCAATGGGGTTATGAATGGCCTGGTATACCAGTAGTCAGTTATTGACCCCGTTCATGGAATAACAATAAACCGATTTATAGATGGTAAAGGGCCATGATTGTATAACATTACCATACTTGTAGCTGCGGAGGACCTACCAAAACATAAGGAACATTATCCACTGTGTTTTTCAGAGGGGAGGCCTGGACATATTTATCTAACAATTGACTCTTAATTGTTGGGATATGGCGAGCATACAGCCAACAGTATTGATTGCATCATGGTATATAATTGTATGCCTAATGACAATAACATGGGATATAATGTGGGTAGTCCTTGCTAGGTGGCGCCCGTTAGTAAAAACCGTTTCGAACTATAGCAATATTGCCACCAGCCCTAGTCAGCATAGATGTAACCAACTTAACTAGTCAGCTTTCATGAAACAACAGGGAAATATATATATATATAACCAAAAACAGAAAATAAAGCAAATATAATCGGATACCATGGGAGCACAGAGGGGTATATAACCAATGTTGTGATCGAGACTGTTGTCACAGAATGAGGTCAAACAATGCCAAGCACATTTTAAAGGCACTGAAATGGGAACACTAACATAGAGACTTGACCCATGTGGATATGGTGGGATGTACTAGAAACAAGAGATACCTCGACGATCCTCTGGGCATGGGTCAACATTTTGTTGTCCAATTGTTTTAACCCATACCCATATCCCATATCCACTCAGGGATCTGTTTCCATATGTTCCCATGCAAGAAACACAGGAATACCAAGCGGTATTAGAATCGTGGCTCAGAAGTGCGGCAAGTGACCATCAACAAACCAAATTTTCCAATTCGAA